TGTGGACCAAGAATCTGATCCAGCACGGGCAATTCGTTCAAGTGCCAAAGAGGTATTTTTGGCGCACGCAGCCCACCCAACAGGAACAAGCCGTAAAATCAACCTTAGCTGTTCTGTCAGCTTAACAGAAACTGTGCAAGACTGGAGGCTGATTTGGGAGGAGGCTTGTAAGCTCTTCTAAATTGATCAGTACAATCAAATCATAGTAAAACTGGGAGAAAGTTGTTCTCCTTCCCTTTTTAACCAGCAATGTTTAACAGTTCTCAGCCGATAACAAAGGATCTCAAAGGCTTTTCGTAAACCAGGCCCTTCAGGAGTGATACGTGAGGGTGACTCCATTCAGGATTATCAGAGTTATGTACAGAAATACCTGCAGAATGCAGAAATTAATACACAGTCCAGTAAGCTGTGCAAGTGGGCTAAATACTAGAGTCTCATTCTGGCCCTGACAGAGATCGTCTTCGTGGCCTCTGACCGCCAGGACTTCTGAGGAATGTAACTTCATTCTCCCCAAAATGTCAAACCGCTGGCATACCTCTTACAGAGGAAATTTTCATATGGACGATCCCAGGGTTGTGCGTGCTTTAAGAACTGCTGCTATGTATTAAGTATATAATGTTTACTTCGGTATAATGCTGCAGATCTTTTTCTTAGTGTCTCATAGCATTTAACTGTAGTCGAACAAAGCTTTGCGGGCGGAGGGTTTTTTTTTTTTCCTTCTTTTCAGAAAGCCAGCTTGGAGCTGAGTATCTGGGAACTCTTTAGTCGAAACATTTCATTTTAATACTGTCAAAATGAATGCTTTTATGTATTGAGATGACACTTACATAATTTAATTTATAATCTTTAACAATGAAAAAGACCATCCTGAAAAAAAAATATATTTCACTAAAATAAGAAATATCGGATCGTAGTTTTGATGAGAAAACTTGAAGAAAATATGCTGCTTGGCGGGGGGACCTGGTTTGCAACAATCATTGTCTGCTTTGGTGGTTCTTTGGTGAACTGAAAAGTCAGCTATTCACAGAGCTCCTCTTTTTTTAACTAGCTGGGAAAATATCTGTTGACTGTTTTTCAAATCTGTCCTCATGTCTTTATGTTTAAACGGTGTTGTCCAGTTTTTTGTTCAGGCCATCATATTTGCCAAGTCCCTCTAAATTCAGACACATCTGGACTTAGGCAGGGCTCTCCTTCATTTATTTTCACTGTGGCCTCGCCAAGCCATTCCCGCGCTTTTTTGTGAGGGTGTGCGTGCTCTGCGGGGCCTGAGTCTGCAAGCGCTGAGGGTCTCCACCTGCCCCAGAAGACTGGTGGTTCCCCACAGCACCTCCTGATCTTGCATCACAGGCTTTCCACGAAAACGGTCCTACCTAGGACTGTGATGAAACCCGAGGATAGAGCCAGACGTGCTGAGACAGGGAAATGCAACACAGAGAATTAGACCTCCAGGCAAACTCATTTTAGGCATGGGCTGAAGTAGTTTTCTGAACTGAGGCTTCAGGCTGGAAGCTGCTCAGGGCAAGGACTGTCGCTCCCCATGCTGTGAAAGCCTACCAAGAGTCTTAGCACCGTGGGAGATTGGTTTTAATCTGGGCTTCAAAGTCTGATCATGATACAAATAACAATAAACAATTTGTAAGCAGCAGAAAAATAATTTCAGCCTTTGTGGTGTCCCCAAAGGAGTAACAATTTGCAAGCACGACAGCATATGCAGCATGACAAGCGCTGCCGAAGGGCTTAGAGGGAGGTCTGCCCCATCCCCGCCGTGCCTTTGGGCCAGCCCCGAGCTGATGGGTGCCCACCTGGCAGCCCGCTTTGCCAGCTCCCCGGTAGCCTGCAGCTTTGCCGTCGGTTCCAGAAGAGTTCAGCAATTCCAGAACTGGGTGTATAAAAACAACAGCTAATAAATAAAGTGTTGGCTGTTTCTTTGGCAAAAGGAAGAAAAGCTACAAAGAAAACACCTACAATAGGGTTGTTTCTTTATTTTTTTTTTTTTTAAAGTAACTGGATGGGAACTGAAAGTCTATCACTAAGACGCTTCTTTGGCTTTGATTTGACACTAGATTTCAGTCGGTCCAATGGAATCTTAATGCTATGGCCAAATATAACATCAAATAATGAAAAACTTCAATGGTAAACATTAACACAAACAGGCATCGAGTATATTAAACATCTTTTAGAATGCAACAGGCCAAATCTGCAAATTGGGAACAGGTCCCTGAGTTGGCACACTATAAAAGCAGGCTTCAGTTTGCCATCTCCAGGACCTGTAGATGGAATACAGTGCATATCTGAGTTAGACTTCATTATGTGTTTAGATTAAACTCTGTGTAGCATTGATTCAGCTATTTATTTTGGCTACAGGAGGCCAGTTTTGAAACATAGGTGCCTTAATGGGATGTTCGTGGCCCAAATCTGCATTAAGGGGACTAAGTCCTTATTTTGTAAGTACATCTGGCTACTGAGGTCAGCAACTGAGCTCGAGCCGTGCGAAACCAATGTTGAAACCCATTGTCAGTTCTTTTCAAAAATAGGTGCCTGCAATGCATGCTTTGGCACCTGAAGAAGTCTTCTGGTTTTTCAAAAGCGCACAATATGCTTTAGCTTCCACTGAAAGCCACGTCACAGCAGCAGCACGGTACAGGTGTGAAAGGCCGCGAGCAGTCTAGCCCAGTGTACCCAAACCGCAAGCAGAGAGTCCCCTCTGGGATAACAGCACATTTCCTTCCCCGTGACGCATTCGGACCTTGATGGTTGTCCAGAGACTGCCTACAGGGGAGCCAGTTTGCACCAGCTGTGGTTATCTCATGTGGTCACCCTCACCTCGTATACTAGGAACCGGCCACATCACCGACATGTTAAAACTGGGCACACACCAAAAAAAAAAATCATGAAACAAAACCAAAAACCTAGCACATCTCAAGTTCTGTGCTGCGTAAATGGAGTAATTCATTCCGGCCGGAGTGCTTAGGCTTTCAGTGATTACTACCACACATTAAGGTTACAGTACGCAAAAGCCTCAAATGAAGGTTTGTCTGCACTGGCTTGGGGGACGCCTGCTGGTGATACCCAACCACAGTTAAAAGTGTTTGGTGCCTGGGGAGTTGGATTTTGGAGGAATGTAGCGTGTTGTGGCACGATGCTTCTGCTCTTCTGGGAGGCTTCTATAAACGAACAATAAATTATGTTATAAAGGTAAGCCCATGAGTAGGTCTTGGATATTAAAACAATTCCTTCTCTCCAGAACCAGTTCCCACGTGACCCCGTACCCCGCATGCGAAGATCCATCCGTGGCGCCCGAGTGTTGCACCCTTTCGTAGGAAACTGGGCTATATCCCGAATGCCAGCTTCCCGCTGGATTGTTTTCCCTACTTTGATTTGTAATTACTGATCGCATGGGAGGATGGAGAGGAAAGGCCTGCGTTTTGGGTTTTTTTTTTCTTTTTGTTGTCCCTCATTTAATAATTTAATTTGTATTCTGATCTTCAAATCCCAAATGCACCATGTGAAGCAGAGAAGCTCGGCAGGGGAAGGGGAGGGAGGAGAAGGAGGGGAGGAGGGGAGGAGGGCTTTCTCTTTCCATATGGTGAGACTCTCCTCCTCATGATCACAGCTTGTCATCTGTCTTCTTTTAAACTTCAGATCCAGCATAAAAATCTTCCCAGCAAAGAACGGGCAATAAATGTGACACAAAGACAGTCTTAAGTGGAGAGATTACCATGAAGAGTGTAAATGGGAGGCCCGATTGCATTAGAGGCTTGCTTTGCGTATAAGCATGGACATAAAACTAAACAGAGCCATAGGAAGCGTGTGTTTCTGAAGAGTAGCATAGCGGGCAGGAACCAGGCATGCAGCCGAGTATTCATATTTTGGGGAGATATGCCTGTCTCTTGCCCTTCCGTTTACCAGGCAGACAAAATAATACATGCCTTTCCTTTATTCCACATTACGGAAAGTGGCAATTGAGGGTGTTATTCCAAATTACGGAAGGTGGCAGTTGGTGGTGAGCTTGAACGACCACTGATTTACCTGGTCTTAAAATGGATCAGGCAGTACAGCCCAACAGAGCCAACCCCGCCGCGCCAACCCAACGGTCCGGACCTGGGATGGTTTATTGCTACTATGCCACAAGCAGAAGGAGAGCTGCCGTTCTAGTTTGGGCCCGAGACTTCCTGCCAAATAACACCCTTGTGGGCGCCTGGTTTACAAGCATGCGAGAAGAGAGCTACACCTTGCACCCAGTTTTTTGGTAATCCGAACGCTGCTCACATGTGACGTTTCTGAGTGTCTGAGTTACTTAATGCAAACTGTACTTCTTGAGAAGTTACTGGATTGTAGTTTGATGCTGTTGCGGATCACTTGTGTATTTGCCCAGGAGTTACATAGTACATCGTTCACTAAGGGGAGAACAAAGCATTCAGGAGAACTCCTGGTTGTCACGACAGTTCAGGATCTCATCGAAACAGAACAATTTCTGTGGAAAATCCTTTTTTTTTTTAAATATGGCTGTAAAGCTGAGATGGGTGTGATCTTACAGAAGATGGTTTGGGGTGCGTGATTTGCTTGGCATGTGCCATGACGTGGGATGGGGCCTGTGTCACAGCCACCGTGCAGGGCCCAGGGCTGGGGGGCACCTGGGGGTGCAGGACAGTGTGGTCCGGGGCAGAGGCTGACCCAGGCGAGCGAAGGAGGACGCGACGTACCTTAGCTGCAATCCTATGGGCGCCTTTTCTGTCGGTCCGTCCCCGGAGAGGTTCTGCAGAATTCTGCACCCGCCTCTAGTGATGACTCCCTTTACGTAACTATAGCCATAGGTTAGTTGGAATTACATAAGGGAATTCCTGACTTAGGTCGAGGCACGTGTCTGATTTTAGCAACGCAACCGGAGCCTGGAGGCCTTTGTATCATCACGCAGGAGAAACATGCTTTTTGCGAGCAACAAAAAAAACAGTCTAAAGCAAACTAGATGCATCATTGCTTTTTCTCTCTTTGCCTCGTAGAAGCGCTTCAGAGAAGAGCTAGAGAACAGGAAAAGAAGTGTAGGTGCCGTGCGGTGGCGTAGCCACAGCCCCGGGCGCCCGTCTCGGCGAGGAAGCGGCTGGAGATGGCTTGGTCCGGTCAGGTAAGCATGGAAATAACAGCTGTTTCCCGAGCCTTCTGTTTTGGGCTCCCCCTTGCTGGGAGCAGACGGCAGATTTGGCAGGTGGCTCCCGGCTTCCCGCCTCCCCGCGCGCCAGGGCTCGAAGTCCAACCACCCCGTTCCCGGCGCGTCTCCTGCTTTCAGTCCTGGGCAGGCGTCGGAGCCGCGGGGGGCCGCGGGGGCGAGGCGTCCACCCGGGTCCGTGCCACGACAGGAGCTCCAGCTCAAAGGGACCGACTGGCCGAAGCGGGGCGGGCTGCGGAGGTGCCGTCTCTGCCAAGGTTTCCGATGTTCCTGCTATACTCCGATGAAACATTATACAGAAAGATATAGGCAAAGCATTATGCTCACAGCCTTTGCCAACAAGTTATGTTTTAATGTAATTTAACTGTAATCTCAGAGTGTTTTTGTTAGCTATAATTAGTAAAATATGTCTGTTTTCTGTGTTCCTTGAAGACGTCTGAACTCCTGCCAGTTCCCTATAGTTTTCCTGACATGCAGCGTAACAAGCAGACCACCAAAATGTATTTACCAATAACTGTTTATTTACATTCCGTGAAATCTAATAACATTTGCTGCCTTCATTCGGGATAAATGCTGGCCAATGTGTAAAGCATAAAAAAAATAAACATTGACTTAATTTCTAACCCAGTCCACAGAATATTTTATTTTTGCTCAATTTGCCCTGCCTGTTAGCATCTTGGCATTCTGCAGTTTGGAAGTTGAAAAAGAAGTCGAAAAAGTTCTATAATGTATCTTCCTGTTCAGTCCAAAACCTTGCAGGGATTTCCTGGACATTTCATTTTTCGTTTCGAAAGTCCGCCCAAGTCTGGTATTTCATTTCTTTTGTCTTCATCTCTCCCAAACATGTGAAACCATATTGCATAGAAAATGTCCAGGGCACTAAGCACTCACTGTGGTTGATGTTGCGCTGGTGCCAGTGTAAAACCTTCCTCATTCTCACGGAGCCACTGGCTTTGCTGGTGTACAAAACAGTCAGAACCACGTCTGTATTTTGTTGCTAAGCAAATCTGCTCTTGTTCAGGAAGGTGTAACCGAGGGCAGAATTGTCATCTCGCATCTTAAGCAGGTCCTTTGCCTTCTGAGTCTGGTTTTGTTTATAGCAGTACTTGCTTTCTTGAAGCCCGGAAAACTCAGACGGTGTAAAACAGCAGACGAGAGGTCACACGCAACAGCTGTGGGCGATACCCTCGGCTGGCAAAATCTGATGCAACTCCACTAATGTCAGTGAGCTCCGCGGTCCTAAACCAGCCGAGGAGGTGGTCTGGTGTTTCTACAGCGTTGTGTAATGCCAGGGCGCTTGCCCTGGAGCGTGTTAGAAAGCACTCATCTGCAGAAAGCGTTACAGGGAAGAAACGCCGACGGCGCAGCTGTGACAGCCTGCCTCTGCCGCCCGGGCGCCAGAGTTTCACGGTCTCACTCTTACGTTGGGAGGAAACACTGTCCAGAAAGCGCTAGGCAGAGCAACGCGCTCGCAGAACTGAGCAGCGAGATGGGCTTTAGAGGGACTCGAGAGTCAGGAGTTGTCTGCGCAGAGCCGACCGACGGGCAGCCGGCAGAGACGCTGAGCGCAACCACATCCCCTCCCAAGACAGGAAGAGCAGGCAGAGCCTGGACGCTTGCAGCTGCAGTGCGGCTGAAGACCTCATACATTTGGCCGCGGTTCCTACTCGTCGGCTGCTGTGCCAGCGCCTCGTGCGTTTGCCATCCCCGAGCTGCAGGCTCGCTCGCAGCTTCGGGCTGTGCTTAGTGCGCGGAGCACCCGGGAGCTGCCGCGCCACCCTGCAGCTGACGCTGCGCTTGCTCCCACCTTCCCGAGAGGACCAGGCTTTGCAAACTCACCCGGCCTGGCCGCCCCTGCCCGGCACGCGAGCTGGGGTGCCCGTCCCACCAGCTCACGACGGACGTTGCCCCGCTCTGCTCACTCCCACCAGGCGTCTGGTAACATGGTGGGTCAAGGCTCATCCCTGGCCCCCAGGTTAGCTGAGCGGGCGGTGAGCTGAGAGGGGACAAGGGGGTACACAGACCCCCCCCCACCAGAGACCTTCCCCACGCGTAACTAAGTGCACACCTCCAGAGGAGACCAAATCCTCCGAGGCAGAGGAAGGCGATGTGAACTGTGAAGCCTACAAAGGGAAGAGGGAGGCCAATACAAGCCAGCCAAGCAAAAACCGGAGCCCTTAAGGGTCCTCTTTCAGAGTGAAGCCCTTGAGCTTACAGGACAGCCATCTCTGAGCAGCTACGTAGTCTGTTTATGTAAGAGTCTGAGGAGACAACATTTCTTATTTGCTTAAGGCACCCAGTGCAGGCTGAGGAAATCTGAGTTCACATCTAAGGGCTGGGACGTCGCAGCAGTGATGCGGAACAGCAGCGCTCGGCCTCCGCGCTTCGCGGGGCTAATAGTCCCCTTTTTGGGGGTGTAGGGCAATACCGTCACTCCTGTGTGTCTGAAGGCACCGCATCCTAGAGGAGCCCCAAGCCAGAAATGAGACCCCCTTGCTTCTGCTGGTGTGCAGAGCTCAAGCAGCGCCCCAGAAAGCAGTCTCCACCTTGCTTTAGTTCTGATTTAACTGCTCTTTTCTTGAGACAGAGTCCATCTGCACTTCTGTAGATGCTTTCAGTTAAGGAGCACAGTTAATACATGTAAATGAATTAAGCCTCAGATTCACAGAGTTGTCAGGAAAATGTTAAGCAGCCCTGGCCTGTGATGGAGATCATAGGAGGCCGGCTCACCTACCCGAATCCAAACTGCCTTGGGCTGTTTTGTCTCGGTAATCACTTAAATTGAGGGTACAACTTTCCCTGACTTCAAATGAGAGCAAAATTTGAAAGATTTTCAACACTTTAGAAAAATCTCAGGCTCAAAGGCAATAAAAGTCAAATTCAAGAGCCATTCCCAGTGAAACCTAGCAGGCGTTAGTGTGGAATGAGGGGCCCGTGCTCGTCGCCTCTCCCTTTGAACGCTCTGCTGGCAGCACGTTGCTTTTTTCCCTGCCAAATTGCCCATCTACCCAGACTTCTTACCGAGCTCAAACATAGGCCCTTTGGGATAAGTAAATTAAGAAAAAAAATGAAAATTATAGGTTGCCCGTTTTGGGCTCCTCTTTGATTGCTTCTCTGGGTTCCTGTCATTTTCTTCATTCAATTTTCCTTCTGTGTATATAGATTTGCATCATAACTGGTTAAATGATGATGGAGTGGAAAAAAAAAGAGTTCAAAATGCATTAAAAATGTCAGAAAGTATTTCTCCCCTACTAACAGTTCTTGATAGACAAAGTAGACTGCCACATTTCTTTATTGTTACGGTAGGATGCTTGGTAAATTGAGCTGTAAATAACTCGGTAGGTCGTTTAGTGGTAAAATGATGTTTCCAAAAGCAAAGAGCTTTCGAAAATAAATGTATGCGGCCACTGGAAGAAATTTAGTTTTTTCTGCTCGCTGTGCTATATTTCAACGTTATTAGGAGAGAAGAATGCAACATATCACCGGTGGCCTTCTCTGCTCATCGCCATGGCCCGAGATCCCTTCCGGCAAAACCAAAGGAAAAACAAGTAGTGGCAGATGTGGTGACCTGGCCCATATTGCTGGGAAGTGGATTTTAGCTTAGTGAAGATGCAAGCGTGCAGTTGCTGTGCTTCGTGAAGACCTGTCTTGGGAATGGGAGGGGAAATCACCTGAGCACTTTTGGACCGCATTAAAATTTCGGGAGACAGAGGCTAAAAACAGCAATCCCAACCCGCCAAGTAATTAATTTCCCTGGTGAAAGGACTGTCTCTGAATGCGGCCCCGAAGCTGCTTGTCATCAGCTGCCTCATTTCAAATTGTGGTTCTTTCGCATTTCGACTGCAAACTTTTCAATTTGCTGGCTGCAAAAACAACAACAACGAACAGTGGTGAATATCTGGCCCCACTGAAATCAGTGGGAGTTTTGCCATAAAGTTCAACAGGCCGAAGATTTTGCCCATGACTCCGCTTTGCACCAGGGTTTTCACACGGGTGAAAGGCGTCGTCGCGCTCCGCGGCGCCCACCCTGGGGCTGCGTGGGGATCTTTCTGCCCCAGCAGGACTACTACGGCTTTATTTTTTTTTCATTTGGGATTTTTGTTTGAGGAAAAAGTACACTCTTCCTGTAAGTACGAGCCAGCAGGCTGGGATGCTGCTTCTCAGCTTCCTCCTATGTATTTTTTTGTAAATGGTGTCCCTATTCTAAGGCATTTCCAGCGTCTTATGATACCATTCATAGAAGTATGTCAGTTCGTGGAAACATTGTGCAAAGAGCAACTTTTGCACTGTTTTAGCTGAAATGACAACGCAGCAAAAATAAATAAAGTAGCCAACAAACATCGTAGAGTTATTTCAGCTTATTGGAATTCTTTAAAGTAGACTGGCCTCCTTTTCTGCTTGAAATTGAGGTTCTCCGCTGTGGAGTAGGAAGAGCACACAACTGGGAGAGCCCGAATGATGGCTCCTGCTGCCACCCGCAGAACCTCCTATAAAGCTCTTCATAAAATGCTCGGCAGAGGGGATGGAAAAAGTAGGTCAAACTCTGCTCACAGATAGATACACCGCTTACACGTCGCCAGTTCTAATGAAATTAAAGGAATGAATCAGTAGAAAAGCCTGCAT